GGGCCACCTCGAAGCTGGGCCGAGCCATCGCCATCTATTTGGCTTCCAAGGGCACCAAAGTGCTGGTGAGTGGGTGGGGGTGAATGCATGGGGGGGTGAAAGGGCCTCATCCTGCAGGAGATTTCCCAGGAGGTGTTTCTGGCAGGTGCCACCTCCAAGCTGGGCTGAGCCATCGCCATCTATTTGGCTTCCAAGGGCACCAAAGTGCTGGTGAGTGGGTGGGGGTGAATGCATGGGGGGGTGAAAGGGCCTCATCCTGCAGGAGATTTCCCAGGAGGTTTTTCTGGCAGGTGCCACCTCCAAGCTGGGCCGAGCCATCGCCATCTATTTGGCTTCCAAGGGCACCAAAGTGCTGGTGAGTGGGTGGGGGTGAATGCATGGGGGGGTGAAAGGGCCTCATCCTGCAGGAGATTTCCCAGGAGGTGTTTCTGGCAGGTGCCACCTCCAAGCTGGGCCGAGCCATCGCCATCTATTTGGCTTCCAAGGGCACCAAAGTGCTGGTGAGTGGGTGGGGGTGAATGCATGGGGAGGTGAAAGGGCCTCATCCTGCAGGAGATTTCCCAGGAGGTGTTTCTGGCAGGTGCCACCTCCAAGCTGGGCCGAGCCATCGCCATCTATTTGGCTTCCAAGGGCATTAAAGTGCTGGTGAGTGGGTGGGGGTGAATGCATGGGGGGGTGAAAGGGCCTCATCCTGCAGGAGATCTCCCCCGACGCCAGGGAGGTGTTTCTCGCTGGCGCTACCTCAAAGTTGGGCCGCGCTATTGCAATTTTCCTTGCCTCCAAGGGCACTAAAGTGCTGGTGAGTGGGTGGGTGGGTGAATGGGTGGGGTGGGTTATCAGAAACACACTCACAGCCGCTGTCATCCTGCAGGAGATCTCCCCCGACTCCAATGAGGTGTTTCTGGCTGGCGCGACCTCAAAGTTGGGCTGCGCCATCACCATCTACCAGCACTTTGGCGCCTCCAAGGGCACCGAAGTGCTGGTGAGTGGATGTGTGGGTTATCTGCAGAGGAGTTGAGCCCTCACTTCCTCCTACAGGAGGTCTCCCCTGATGCCAGGGAGGTGTTTCTAGCCGTGGCCACCTCGAAGCTGGGCTGTGCCATTGCTAGTGCCTCGCCTCTAAGGGCATCAAAATGTTGGTGCGCAACTGAGTAGCTTCCAATACAGGTAAAGAGAGAGAAAAAAAAACGGAAATTTAAGGCACAGACAGGCAAGCCGGTATGCATGCAGTGTATCTGAATGACAGAATCTGTTAAAAGGCACAGGCAGGCTAGCAGCACCCATTGGTGCTAGACAAATTGCAAGCAAGTTTTGCACTTTGTTGGAGCAGCTTGAATTCTTCTGCTTCCCACCCTACACTCCCCACCCACCCCACACTCTCCACCCCTCCCCACGCTCCCTACCCTGCCCCACACCCCCGACCTCACCCCCCACACCCCTTTAAAGAGCGATTTGAGTCCATTCCCTCTGTAATCCTTAAGCCCTAAACCCCGCCGGTAGTCAAGCTGCTGGTTGTAAGTGACAGACTGCGAGCGAGCGTCGCACTGCCGCAAGGGGGTCGTGGGCAAGTGGCTTACAGCGGAGCAGCAGAGCAACGCCCTCAAGGGCACCTTCTTCCCATCGGTTAAACATCTTACCCCTCTCCTCCTCACTCCTCCCTCCCACTCCCCCTTCCCCTCCTCCACACGCCCCTTCCCACAGATGCTTACGACTTCAAAGGAACGATTCGATTCCATCCGCTCGGAAGCACCAGCAGACAAGCAGCACCTGCTAGTCCAAGTCACCGACTGCAAGCAGGCGTCTCACTGCCGCGAGTGGATCGTGGGCAAGTGGCTGACGGCCAAGCAGCAGAGCCACGCCCCCAAGGGCACCTTCTTCCACCAGTTTGTGGTGCCTCCGCTGGACGAGGTGCGGGGCGACTGCGTGTACGGCAAGCTGGCGGCCATGCGACTCCCCAAAGACATTGACGGTCTCAACACGTGCGAGGTGAGGGGCTGGCAGGGGTGGGAGGGAACGGGTGCAGAGGGCGTGAACAGGATGCTTGTTATGGGAAGGAGGAGGGGGGGGGGGGAGAGGGGCAGGGGGGATTTTGGGGAGATTCACAAGTTGGCAGGCGACAAACACTTGGAAGACTAGGAGGTTTGCAGAGACTGCGTGTCGGAGCAATGCGTGGTAATGTGGCCATTCGCAGATGATTCAAGGGCTCAGCAACCTCTCCTATCCTTCCACCCTCTGGCCCCCATTTATCACAAGAGTATCATGAATATCATGCACATCTATGCTCAAACTCCTTGCTTGCCTACCCTCCTCTCCCTCCTCTCCCACCCTAATCATTACCCAGCTTCAACTGGAGCGGGGAGTGGTGCACGCATGCCATGCGGGGGGGCTCGTGCACATGCTAGAGGGGTGGCAGCACCACGAGGTGGGGGCTATTGATGTGGCTCGCATTGACATCACATGGCAAGCCGCCATGCGCCAAGGCTTTTCCAGAGTATAGGTGGTTTCACCTGCAACTGATGTTAGAATAATTTATGATAATTATTGGACCATAACTTGGCCTGTTTTCGGGCCAAGAAGGTTCCAAACGGGTTGTGTGATTGTTTGGCCACAAGCTGCTCTTGTCTAGTTGCATTTCACAGTTAGAAACGTCAACCCGTTAAATGCAGATGAAGAGTTTGAGCTTGCCAGGTGTACTGAATTGCCCTCTCATCACGAAACATCGCAAAGCGAAACCTTATATCGCATCACGTGTTTTTGCCAAATTTGCTGTCACAAGCTGCCAGTGGCGAGTTCGGTGGAAGGCAGTCAAAACGACCAAGCAAGATTTGGCCCCGCCAGCACACACTCTGTGGGGCGGCAATGTGTAGATTCCCAGAAATTCAGTTCGAACAGCCTACAACTGCCAGCAACATATCAAAGATTTCAGGCTTTGTGCCAGTTATCCCCAAAGATGTGCACCGCATGTCGAGAAAATACACGACGACAAGTCAGACCAGAAAGTGGAATCCACTGGGTATTTAGTTTTTTTTTTTCAGAAGAAAATATTGCTTACGCCGGATCCTTTCTGGCAACCAGAAAACAAGCCAAACATATTTTGTTCTGCCCGGATGTTTTATGTTTTACTTTTGCTACCCCATTCGTGATTGAGACCAAATCCAGTCCAGGTACGATCCAAATATTGTTCCACGTCACCCGATCGAAAGCAATCGCTAGAGTGGCGCGTGCGCCTGCACTGCGTAGCGAGCGCTCGTTCCCAGAGTCCGCGGTTGTTCTCCAGCCGCTAGTTGCATGCTCCGTCGGTTACCCGCCTGATGCCGAACTGTTTCCCGCCGTTGAAAGTGGACAAACGTCGCCTGTAACATTTGGTTCGCAATCAGCGTGATAATATTTATCGACGTGGCTAGAAGTTCGAGGACGTCGAAACCTCACAAGGAAAAAAATAGTGCTTAGCTTCAATAGCTTGAATGCTCAATAAATCGTCTATGCGGCAGTTAAGCTACTGGTTTCGTCTTTTTTCTTGGCATTGCATGTGGGAGGGAAACCACGCTGGGAGGACTGGCAAGTGATTTCCCCATTGCACACGCACGGTTGCTGCAATGGGGATCTGCCAACGACTGTAACCCGCTGATAAGACAACCCAGCGTTTGTCGCGACGTGCTGTAGGGCATTCCGTAATTTCCGTATTCCTGGGTACTACAGTTCAGTTGGGTATTCCAAAAGCGGACCGTCGTGTAGAAACCCTGCAGTGTGGATGAAGATTGTTCAGATTCTAGAATGTGGTGGGTTGGCGGCTACAAATATGGTCCGAGAGTTTCGCAAGCATCGGAATGAGTTGCTTCATCCCATTCTGTATCTGCCCAAAAGAAATATGTCCATTTTCACATTTCCCAGGGACAATGGTACATTGTGGAGTCCTCCCGCAGAATCGCCACCAAGCCGATCTTATTGCGCGTGGGAGGAGTTCAACTGCACTGCTCATTTTTCTCCACAACTCACAGATCAAACCTGCTCCTGCAATCAAAGCATGACTTCCCGCCATTGGTAACCATCGAGTGACATCGCATGCGGCGATCAGATAACATAAAAGGTCCTGAGCCAAAGGCGGTGGCAGCACAGTACATGTGACAGAATTGGGGTAACCTCTGCCCCCCCACGGCTCCAATCTTTTCCAGTACGCCAGCTGCGTTGAATTGCACATCGTGCCCCCTAGGTGCCTTGGTCTGGTTCCTCAGACAGGTACGCTGGCGAGGTGGTTGACAACACGAAACGAAACCCTTATCCCGAGCATGTGAACGAGAGGGAAAGCGGCGACCACATGTTTGTACCATGTGATAGCGAGTCAGCACAGAAACGCAGGAGCGGCGACAAAGATCTGAAGAGAAACAATAGTGGAAATTGTGTACGGTAATTGTGACTGAGGCACATCGCGAGAAACGCACCGCGTGAAGCATAGCTCCGCGTTGAATCCAGATTTGACACTGCTTCTTCTTTTCATTTTTTCCCCCCTTTTTAGCGCTATTTTTTTAAGAATAGGAGCATGACTGAGCGAATCCTTGCGTTGGTCAGCCGATCAATGATCTGGGGACAAGCAGCGCCATGGCGAAGCCTCACAAAGAAACATGTGAGAAGTTGGACTCACAGATCCGCTAGCAGTAGTTCGAGAATACATCTCAAAAGGGTCACAACGTGTGACGTTCTAATAGTGACGTTTGGAGCTACTAAAAAGTTCAGGATCTCAAAAACCAGATGGGTACATCTTGGTTTTCCAGACCTCTCAAGGACACCATGATATCGATGAGCGGCATGATGCACATCTCCGAGATGCCAGAGTCTGCCATTGCCATGCTTCCATGGACATCGATTGCCCTAGCTCTCTTCCCTCTGCCACTCCACATCCACCATACTTATCATTGCCTCCTTGCCATGCCTCCTCCTTGCCATTTGCCAGGCTACCTGATCACTTACACACAGAGCGATAAGGACCCCAGCAGAAAGGGAGAATGGAGGTGAGGGATGTCCACTGCAGATATGGCAATGAGTTTTTTTAAGATGTGGATGGAGACTGGAGGATGGGGATGGGGATTGGAGGATGGGGATGGGGATTGGAGGATGGGGATGGGGATTGGAGGATGGGGATGAGGATTGGAGGATGGGGATGGGGATTGGAGGATGGGAATGGGGATTGGAGGCATAAAGATGGATAGATATGAGTGAGTGAGAGGCTGAAGTTCTCTTCTCAAGGTGATGATGGAGAGGCAATGGAAAAAAAAAAAAAAAAAAAAAATGCTGGGAATACCGATGTTGGATAGGATGCTGAGCCACGCAAGATGGAGTATGGGATATCATATTCCAGAAGGAATACAATAGCAAAGGTTATGGCTTCAGAGTCTTCCTATTGTTTCGCATATGTTGGTGCAAGTTCTCTGTTCTCAAATCATGTGAAGCCCTCAGCTATCGCAGGACCATACTCTATCTAGAGAGACATTTTATTTGTTGAAGCTATTTCAAGTCATACTAGACCTCTTCATGGCTTGCTCTGCGACTCTTCCCCCTCCTCGCCCTGCCCGGAGCCTCTGAACTCATCAAAGCATCCCTTGTTAGCTCTTTTGCACCTTCACCAAACCTCCAACCCCGCCTCCACACCGTTACCCCTTTTTTGTTTGTTGGTTTCTTTGTTTTTTTTCATCATGGTTGCGTCGGTGCCTTTTTTCTTCTCCTCTCCCAACCCAACTGTTATGTCCCCCCCCTCTCCCCCTCCCCCTCTCCTCCTCCTCCTCCTCCTCCTCCTCCTCCTCCTCCTCCTCCTCCTCCTCCTCCTCCTCCTCCTCCTCCTCCTCCTCCTCCTCCTCCTCCTCCTCCTCCTCCTCCTCCTCTATCTGTTGTGGGCAGGAGATACAACCCTCTGCCGTGGACCTCAACGTCCCTGACACATCACCTGAGAAATCACCTGGAAAATCGCCTGGCGCGTCTGAGCTGGCTGGCAGAGCGGTTGGGGGCGCAGAGGAAACAGGAGCTGGTGCTGAGTATAGCTTAGCTGGTGCGGTGAAGGAACAGATGGAGAATGAAGCTTGGAGAAGGGATGAAAGAGACGAGCAGCAGCAACAGCAGCAGCAACAGCAGCAGCATGCCCCATTACCTTCCATCTTTCCACGTCTCAACCCTTTCCTTAGCTCTCTCTCCCCTTCACCAGTGCTCCCCCCCAGCGGAGAACGAAGCAGGGAGGGCAGTGGAGAGGAGTGGAGGCAGGCAGGACTGAGTCTAGCCTCAGGTGGATTTAGAGGTGCTTCTGGTGAGGTGGAGGGACAGAGGGAGAAAGAGGGTTACCAGCGCCAGGAGCAGGAAGGGCAGAGGGGAGTTGAGCCTGGGTGGTCCAGTGAGAGACTTGGACGGATCTGGAGGTTAGGCAGGGCGGACGCAGGCTTGGCAGAGAAACCCGAGGCTGTTTCTGAGAGCGCGAAAGAGCACTCCGCAGGGAGGGTAGAGTGTGGTTTGGGTGAGAGAGTGGAAGGTTTGGGGTCGGGCCTAGCTGGAGGGGAGGGGGGAGATGGTCGGGAGGGGAGTGTCGGGCGGGAGCCGGGTGTTGGGCAGGAAAGGGGTGCTGGGCAGGATGGGGAGCAAGTGCGGAAAAGGCAAAGGTTGGAGCTGGGATGGGGGCAGGAGCGTGACTGGAGGGAGAGCGAGCAGCAACAGCAGCAGCAGCAGCAAGGACTGGGAAGCACGGAAGAGGTTGAAGGGAAGAAGCAGGTGAACAGGCAGTGGCAGGCGAACAGCACCCAAAGTCCCATCAAACCCCATCAGAGCCCTTATGGGTTCCCCCAACGGCCCCTCATGGCCCATACGGATTTCTCTAAGAACTTCCAAAGCCCTGTCAAGCCCGATCAAGGCCAGCACTCAGGTTCCCACTCCCACATGATGTCCCCTGGTCCTCTATCCCAGGGGGGAACTATGTCTCACAATTTTGTATCCCCGATAAGAGGTGGTTCAGTACTAGCACCCGGAACGGACAGTTCTGTAGCGCTTAGAGCACACGGCTTTGTAGGGGCGCGTATACAGTCCGTGACAGCTGAGCCAGAGACAAGGGGATACGGGCAAGGGGAACACGAGCAAGGGGAGGGCGTGAAATCCGCTGATGCTGACTCAGAAGCAGAGGCAGCGACAGCAGCAGCAGCAGCAGCCGCAGCAGCAGCAGCAGCTCGGGCTTCTGAGAGTGTGCGGCTTTTCCACTCCTTGAATCGCATTCAATCGCAGCTGGATTCAATAGGCGTGGGAGGGGCAGGGGTAGAGGCAGGGGTAGAGGCAGGGGTAGAGGCAGGGGTAGGGCAAGGGGCAGAGACAGGGGCTGGAGCAGGAGCAGCAGTAAGTTTTCCGTCCCCATTCGGCCTGATGACCCCTGAGGTGACTCAAACGGCGCAGCAACGAGCAACCATGAGCCCTGTTCCCCTCACACCGAGTGGCTCAGGGGCAGCGTTAGCGCCCCCCTTTCCCGCAGCGGCATTGGATGGGCAAAGCCACCTTCTGCAGCAGAGGATGAGAGGAGATGCGAGCCCTCTGGCTCAGATGGACCTTATGCTCACAGCCAGCTGGCACCGGCAGCATGGCGGGCGAAACTTAGTAGCGGACACGATAGTTGAGCAATGCATACCGGCACATTCAATAGGGGCGGATGCGATAGTACTAGAGCAGTCTACACCAGGGCACCGTATACTAGGGCAACCTTTACGAAGGGGGGCAATAGAAGCGCATTCGTTAGGGGATAGTGGGGCTGGCGGAGCCGGTGGGGTTGGTAGAACAGCAGCAGAGCAGGGTGGTACAGGTGCTGCTAGTGCTGCTGCTGGTGCTGGCGCCACTGCTGGTGCTACTGGCAGTGGTGGTGGTGCTGCTACTGCCGCTACTGGTAGTGTTGGTGCTCCTGAGGAAGCCTTAGAGCTGTTTCACTGGCGTGAGGCAGAGGGGGTGGGAAAGCGAGTGGGAGTGGGAGAAGGAGTGGGAGTGGGAGAGGAGTCAGGGGGTGATAGGAGGAAAGGGGAGAATGCGGAGGGTTGGGGCGGTGATAAGGGGGAGTTGCAAGGGTGGGACCCTGGTGGGGGTGAGGAGGGCGAGGAGGGTAAGGCGGAGACGTGGGGCTCTGATGGCGGCAAGGGGGCAACCACTCAGCTTGCGAAGCAGGTGGCTCATCTGAACAGTGTGGTGGTGAGTAGGACACGTGGCACCACGGGATTGGCTGAGGACGCAGGTCTCGCTCTGACTCTTGGCGGGAGTTTATCAGCAAGAAAGGGAAAGTTCGTGGAAGGGGAGCGGGCGTTAGTGGCAGGACAGGGGAGTTATGTGGAAAAGGGAGGAGGGTTGCTGGGAGGAGGAGCAACGCCACTAGCAGAAGGGGCAACGCCGGTAGCAGAAGAGAGAGGCATTGGCACTGCCAAAGCATCTGAAGTTGACCCTCTTGGTTCTTCTGGTGCTGCTTCTGCTTACAGCCCGGATGCGGCCGCGCGTGCAGCTGCTGCAGTTTTTGCTGCTGCTAGCACTGGTGGTGCATCATCATCATCATCAGCAGCAGCAGGAGCAGCAGCAGCAGGAGCAGCAGGAGCAGCAGCAGCAGGAGCAGCAGGAGGGGAAGGAGTAGGAGGAGCAAGAGGAGGAGGGAGGTCAGAGGTGACCCCTAGCTTGGAGCATTTCCTGCAACACTTTGACTCGAGTGCACGTGATGCACGACTGGGTGCGGCTCAGTTGATGGAGTCTCCGTTCCTGGAGCACCTTAGGCACAGCGTGAGACAGGAGCAGCAGCAGCAGCAGCAGCAGCAGCAGCAGCAGCAGCAGCAGCAGCAGCAGCAGCAGCAGCAGCAGCAGCAGCAGCAGCAGCAGCAGCAGCAGCAGCAGCAGCAGCAGCAGCAGCAGCAGCAGCAGCAGCAGCAGCAGCAGCAGCAGCAGCAACAGCGGGAGGAGGAGAGAGCAGGAGCATTGGCAAGCAAGCTCCACCCACCATCAGGATTCACTCGATCTGCCCCGCCACCAACACCACGAGCACCCCCTCCTTTTGAAACGAGCTCCCTTCAGCCACCCTCCTCTCACGCTCTCTCCCATGCAGGCAGGTCCCACCAGGCCCATCCCTCTCTCTCCTCCCACCCCCACCCCCACACCAATTCCCTTCGCTCTTCCCACCCCCACCCCCCCACCAGTCCCCTCTTTCCTCCCTCTTCCGTCCCCCCTCCCCACACCAATCCCCTCTCTTCTCCCTCTTCCCGCCTCCACCCCCAGCACCAGCGCCCCTTTCCCCACGTCCCTCCCCCCCAACCCGCCCGCCCCCATTCTCGCCCCCTCCCCTGCGACCATATGTCCAGACGGCCCCTCCGTCATTCCTCCCTTCTCCCCCTTCGCTCACTCTGGCCCTTCCCTTGTCTCCCAACCCGGCTGCTGCTTCCGACCCTACTGCTGCTGCTTCTGCATATGCTACTGCTGCCGCTGCTTCGTCTGCTGCTGCCTCTGACTTGCAGCGAGTCCCTCCCTTGGCTGCTTCTGCTGCTGCTCCTGCTGCTCCTGCTCCTGCGGCTTCAGCTGCTGCTGCTGCTCCTGCTGCTGCCTCAATCCTTGCACGTGCTGGCCACAGCATCGGAACGGCCACCCTTCCGTTGTTCCACTCGAGCAGTGGTGACCTGCATGGGGCGAGCAGCATCAGAAGAGAAGAAGCAGGAGCGGAACAGCTGGGCGGACTGAGGGGAAGGCAAGGAGTGGGAAGAGGAGAGGGTGCAGGGACTGGGGAATCAGCATGGGGAGTAGGAGGAGAAGGAGGAGGAGGGGGAGGCGGAGGTGGGGGGGATGGTACCAATGCTGGTGCCATTGCCAGCAGTTTTGCTCTTAGGGGTGGGATGCAGCTTGGGGGAAACAGTGGAGGCGGATGGATGCAAGGGCAGGGAGGAGCAGGCGGAAGGGAATGGCAGGGAGGAGCATGCGGGAGGGAAGGGCAGGGGGGGGCAGGCAGGAGGTGGGGCATGGATGTTCAGCTTGGTGACGCAGCTATGCTGGCTTTGGGACTCTCTGATGTGATCCGAGCGGCTGGGAGGGCCGGAACAGCAGCTGCAGCTGCAGCAGCAGCAAGTGCCGCAGGCGCAGCAGGTGGAGGAGGAGGGGCTCTGGGGCTCTCCGAAGCGATTCGGGCGGCTGGGAGGGCTGGAACAGCCGGTAGCATTTCCGCCTCGGCGTTTCTGTCGAACGCTGCGTTGCAGTCAGCAGCGGCAGAAGTGGCAGCGGCGGCAGCGGCGGCGGCGGCAGCAGCAGCGGGCAGTTGAAGTAGGAGCATCTGCTGTGGCCGCGGCAGCAGCACGGTCCCCACCAGCAGCAACTGTCACTGCTGCTGCTGCTGCTGCTGCTGCTTCTGCTGGTATGAGTGGGAGCTTCCAAGGTGGGAGCGGGGGAGGAGGAGAGGGAGAGGGACAGGGCGAGGAACAGGGGCAGCCGGAGGGCTCACAGGAGCAGCATCAGGAGCGGCGGCAGCAGCAGGTGTAAGAGGAGCAGGCGTGGGCGGTGAGAGTGCACCAGCAGCAGCAAAGGGCGGTGACACAGCAGCAGGAGCAGGGGCAGGAACAGGTGCAAGCGGGCAGGGGGTGGGCAGGAGATGCAGCAGGACGGACGGCAAGGGGTGGGTGTGCAAGCGCATGGCTCGAGAGGGCTTCCTGCTGTGCCAGCACCACATTGCTGTCGCCAGCCAGTCTTCTTCCGCGCCTAAAACCGGTGGCGCCAGGAGGAGCAGGGTGAAGCAGGCCAATCAGCGCAGCACCCTTCCATCCATGGATAACGCATCTCCTGCTGCTGCTGTTGCCGCTGCTGCTCCAGGTGCTGCCTCTGTTGCTTCGGCTGGTGGTGCTGCTTCTGCTGGTGCTGCTTCGGCTTCTGGTTCTGGTGGTGCTGGTGCTGCTGCCGCTGCTGCTGTTGTTGCTGCCAGGGAAGCTGCTGGGGCCTCTCCCTCCAGCATAAGTTTGCATAACTACAGTGTTTCTAATCCTCCTCACTACACTGTTTCTAACCGTAACAGCGGTGGTGCCCGTAGTAGCAGCAGTCCCGGTGACGGCGCTGGGGAGAACATCAATGCGGGGAGAGGAGAGGGTGGTGGTGGTGGTGTGATCAGGAACATCAACAACATCAGCATCAACATCAACATGAACCTGAGCAACCCATTTGACGATCGGCACAAGTAAGGCGGCAGGGAAGAGCTACGAGGACAGCCAGGAGAAGTGTGTCAGGATGATCCTTGCGTGTACGGTATTAGGAGAGAATGAGTAACTTGTGACACAACACAGGCTATGGTTGTACATACGGTACGATTCGCTATTGTGGAGTACAACACACAGCTGTTCAGTTGAGTGGAGATTCGAGAAACATACGGCGTTTGATTAATCTCCAAATAAAGTGCCAGAGTCACTTACGGTACCGTCATACCCCGGATATACCCCCATGGGGGGCAATAATAAAACAGGCTTTTTTGAGGGGGGTGGGCTTATAATCGAGTAAATTTATAAGCGCCGGCGTTTATAAAACGACATATATAGTTTATATGTTTTTTAACACCAAGATGTAGACCTCGTGCTTGCCTTTTCAATCGAGTCGAAGTTACATGGGGTCGTCTGTGAAATTCTCGCGCGCACTGGGAGATACACCAAATCTGACAGCTCCTGACAGCTTCTGACAGCTCCTGACAGCTCCTGCTGACTGGACCCGCATCCAGTGCAGGGTCCGAATGTGAAGGGAACCGAATCTGGAGGCATCCGCCTGATGAAGTAGAATTCGTTACAGTGTTTTGAACACATTTCAAAAATTAAAGTTTACGTGCGCTTATAATAAAACAAGTTTTTTTCAGGGGGTGCGCTTATAATCTAGCAGCGGATATAAGCGCCATGCGCCAATTAAAAGCGCCAGGCGCTTATCCAAGGGTGGCGCTTATATCCGGGGTATGACGGTAACAATGCAGCTCGAAATAGCAGGGTCAAAAGCACTGCTTCTTGCCGACAATTCATAAGCAAACCTGTCTATGGTAAGTCGATTGGTTAATGAAATGAAAACCCACTTCTCAAGTAAGTGGTGGATGCCATGAAACCCTCCAGCACCAGTGGTCAGAGCCGAGAGAGGAATATTGGGAGATGTGGAAGACATGTTCACATTCTTCAAGGTAATGAGACCAGCTTATGGTGACATTGGGTTGGTGGCTGGGCGGAGCTCAAAGCCACTGTGGTGCTCAGTGGTGAGTCCAAGTGGGCCCTGTCAGAATCTAGAGACAAGAATGAATGCATTGATCAAGAGTTGGGTACATAAGCTAACCCTAACATTGGGTTGTACCCCATATGGGCTACCCCACTAGCAGCCTACACAAACACAATATGCATTGTTTGACACACCCCCATAGGCAAAGTGGGGGAGAACAAGGGGTCACAAGACCAGTCAAGAGAAACAAACCAAGCTCAGGGTGGATCACAACGTCACCACACAGACTGAGCACAAGCAAAGGGCCACAAGGCCAGTCCACATGCAGAGGTATATATGCAACAAACAAAGTACAGTGATCACTACCTAGCAAGAGCAAGCATGCAGGTATATATATATAAAGATCACAGTACAGACAGAGTCTACAGCAAGTGTGGAAACGTAGGCACAAGGCCCAACAAGGTACAAAAGCGCTGATGATCACCAGACGGAAGTGCCTTGGTGAATATATCAGCAGTGTTGGCCCGAGTGGCCACGTGTGCAAGACGAAGCTGACCACGCTGCTGCAACTCTCGAGCCAGGAAGTAACGCAGAGCGATGTGCTTCGTTCTGTGCTCCAGTCTGTGCTCCTCACACAAGGCAATGGCTGCCTTGTTGTCAACGTACAGAACTGGAGGAGAACGAGGCCGCTCTCCCAGGTCGGTCAGCAGGTACGTGAGCCAGCGCAGCTCCTGAGCAGCCATGGCGGTGGCGTAGATCTCAGCCTCACAACTGGAGCTGAGAACAGAAGACGAGCGAGTAGAACGCCACGAAACAGAACCAGAGCCGAGGCTGAAAGTGTAACCCTGTGACGACCGCTGTGTAGCCTGGTCGTCAACCCAAGACGCGTCTGAGTGCCCAGTGAGGACCACCTCTCGCCGTCCTCCAAGCACGAGCCCCATGCCCGATGTACTGTACAAGTAGCGCAGTACCCTCTTCGCAGCATCCCAGTGCACCTTTCGGTGCCGACCAGGAGCCACGTAGTGAGCCAAAAGGCCAAGAGGGTACGCAAGGTCAGGACGAGTGCAAGTCATCAGGTACATGAGGCAGCCTACTAGCTCTGGGTAAGGACCACTCGGCTCTACGGACTCGTCCGAAGGTGGAGCTGAGAGCGAGTGACCTGTAGCCAGAGGAGTGGACTGTGCCGAGGACCAGGTGAAGCCGAAGCGCTGAAGGACCTGCTGCACCATGTGTGACTGAGTCAGAGTGATGGTGCGACGTGCTCTGTCCCGGGTGATCTGCAAGCCAAGGTAGCTGCGCAGCTCACCCAGGTCTGTGCATGTGTGTCTCTTCTGCAGCTCGGACTTCACCAGGGCGAGAGCCTCAGTGTCAGCAGTGGCAAAGACCGAGTCGTCGACGTACACGAGGATGTAGAACGGCGGCAGCGAGGTGTCGGTGCGCAGAAACAGTGACGGGTCAGCTGTGGAGGGCGCAAACCCGAGAGCCGCAAGCGTAGTCCTCAGTGTGTCGTGCCACTCACGAGGCGCCTGACGGAGACCGTAGACTGGCCGGCGGAGGCTCCACTGGGTACCAGGAGGGAACGACCCAGTGAAGCCAGGTGGGCGGCGCAGCCAGATCTCCTCGTGCAGGCTGCCCTGCAAGAAAGCTGTGCTGAAGTCAAGCGAGTGAAGCTCGTAGTCACGCTGGGCGGCAACGTGCAGCAGTACCCGAAGAGTGGTCATCTTCGGGGTGGGGGAGAAGGTCTGGAAGAAGTCAACCCCCTCTCGCTGACTGAAGCCTCGAGCAACGTAACGTGCCTTGAAGACAGGCGGAGAACCAGGCGGTCGCTTCACCCTGAAAATCCACATGC